GTCTCCAAGCGTAACTAGTATGGGAGTACCATCCTCAGGAAAGTTTGAGAGCAGCACATCTAATTCTTCCACGAAGTTACCTAGTGGTCCTGGGGGTCGATAAACAACTATAGAATGGATTTTAAAAGGGTGGGTAATAGTGGCTGAATGTGATTCAAAGGAGCTGCTAATACCCAGAGAAGGTAAAGGATTAAATTTCCAATCATTAGAGGTAAGCAGACCACCTCCACCTCTTCCAGTTAGACGGGGAGTATGGGAAAATGAGAAATTATTGGAGAGTGCTGCAGGTGTAGCAGCGTCCTCTGGTTTGATCCAGGTCTCTGTCAGAGCCATGAGGATTTAGTCTTGAATGACTAGCAAAATATGTAATGAAATCTGTTTTGTTTACTGCAGACTGACAATTCCAGAGACCAATAGAAAAAGAAAGTAGTGTATTAGCAGACATAGGCAAAGTGTGCAGGTTGTTAGGATTGCGCTGCCTATAGTGTGTGATGTGTGGTTTGTGAGTGGTAGTGATAGTAGGGATATGGAAACATATAGTAAGAGTTGGTCATTAAAGGGGTCATATGATGCGATTTCAAGTTTTCCTTTCTCTTTGGAGTGTTACAAGCTGATTGTGCTTGTAATATTATACGATATTCTTTATCAAAGTTAAGACTCTGCCACACCCCCCTAAAACGGCTCGTTCGAACACGCCCCCACATATCTACCTCATTATGTGGAAATATTTGCGTAATGCCGCCCAAATGTGCACGCAAAAAAAGAACCACAGTTAGTGTTGAAGCAGCCATATCAGGGAGACGCTGTGTGCTTCTAGGCGAAAGCAAAAGCACTTTATAGTAGGGATCTGGAAACACAGTAAGAGGACCCCTTTAAAACTGAAACAGAAGTGAAGCAAGGTGTAGAAAAGAGGATGAATCAAAAGCGATACTTACTGTATATCCCTTACCTTTTAATTACATAGAATTAAAAAAAATTATACTTTTTTAAAAATTAAAATGCCAACGTGTCAGATTTCTCCCCCGAATATATATATATATATATATATATATATATATACAACCTCTATATATTAGATCATATTTAAGGGAGTGATATAATTTTATTTTTTTTTATCAGTATCATAGTTGCCCCCCCCCCAATTAAATAATTTAAAACTAAAAACATTGCAATAAACATACATTGAGTTATACAGAATGCATAAAAATCACCTGCATTTATCTTTTGAAATTAGAATACAATGCATGTACTATTTACTGTTTATGTATGTATGTATGTATTTATTTATTTTTAAAATACTTTTACTTTTTTTGTTCATCCTGTAATTTTGAAATGGCATTAAATGTTAAAAAATATATAATATTTCCAGAAATCAGTAGTGGCATACTGAGTTCAACAATAACCCTTTAAATTAAACGATTTAAAAAATAGCATAGCATTTGCATTAATTTGTGCATTATATAGAAAAATTACCCACTTTTTTTTTTAAATTACAGTATTATGCATGTACTATGTTTTTTTTCCCCTGAAAAAAACAGAATTTTTCCTTTTTTTTTTTTTTTACTGTGTTCATTTCTGATATATTTAAGGGAGTAATTTTTTAATTGATAGCGTAGTAGTCCCTCTAATGATTATGGCAGTTATGGCCCTGGTAGTTTGAGCCTAAAATGGGAAAATATAAGTGTCGGCAAAATAAGCCTTTTTAAATGAAATGTAAAAATAGCAGATCATTTGCATAAATGGGATCTAAACGGTTTCCTGAGAATGATACTTTTCCTGTCAGCGTTGAATGTTTGTCACATGGCTATTGCTTAGCAATGTGTTAAGTAGTATGTGTGTTGTTTTTATTCAATGAATTGTGGAAAGCGTAATCTCACCATGGGGAGATCCTGAAGTCTGCGAAACTCTGGGCCGTCATTTGTGTGTCTGAATTTGAGGAATATGAGGACGGACACGATGGCAGCGACGATGACGAACGCCGACACCAGTCCAGCCAGCAGCGGGTCAGTGGACTCTTTGCTATTGTCTAGAAGAACCAAAGCAGAGAAAGAGAGAGGGAATAACACTAGCGCACTTTCTGGAAAATATGTAACTAGTGTGTGTTTGTGTGCTTGAGCGTTTCTGCAGTGACGTAAAAGCCTGGCGAATCCACAAAGATGTGTCTGTTCTCCGGTTGTGTCAGCGTGAAGACGTTCCTCTGCACATATAATGATGCTCTTGTTTTCCACACGCACCGTTATCAGCATCTCTGCTGTTTGACCTCTATTTATAACCACTTTACGAGGATTTGTTCTGCTCGCCATTATGGTAAACAAAAATGCAGATGTGCACTGTAAATGTTTGTGTGTGCAGCTGCATTTGCTCACAAAAGCGTCAACCAAATGAATAATCATCATGTGATGTTTGATATCGCAGCAATAAATCTTGTCCGCATTGAGGCTTCCTGCCAAAACCAGCAGCAGAGGTTTCCAGCAGGAAGTCACGCTTTGGTCCTCACGAACAGAGTCAACATCAGTCAGGCCATAGTTACACAACCGTAATGTTATGCTCACCAAGGCTGCATTTATTTGATCAAAAATACAGTAAAATACTGGACAATAAAACAAATGAGCTCTGTTTTATAATTGTAGGCTGCATTTTAAGGTTCAAAATGTAGGCAATGTAATTATGCTGCCTTCTAAAATACCTGCAATCATTCATGGAGAAGGCAATCCCAGAATGCAATGCAGTAAGATGAGTGAAAAAAGAAAACAAAGATAGTGAGAGTAATTAAATACAGAATTTATAATGAAAAGTGCTGATAAATGTAGTTTATTAAATGCATTATATTTAACTGTATTCAATATATTAAGTGTAATATATATTTAATATTAAGAATTCAGAAAATTACTGATAGTTAATAATAACTAAAACATTTATATACTTTAAGTATACTTAAATTTATAAAATATATTAAGTGTAATATACAGTATATTTAATATTGAGAATGCAGAAAAATACTGATAAATAGTTTATAATAATTAAAAACATTCTATGCAAGTATACTTAAATGTAATAAATATATTAAGTGTAATATATATTTAATATTAAGAATTCAAAATTTATACTGAAAAGTACTTATAAATATTGTTTGTTTATTAAATATATTTAAGTGTAATATATATTTAGTATTAGGAACTTGAAAAGCACTGATAAATATAGTTTATAATAATTAAATACATTATTTGTAAGTGTCTTTAAATATATTAAGTGTAACATGTATTTCATAATAAGAATTCAGAATTCATACGGAAAAGTACTGATAGATATACTTTATAATAATTAAATACATATTACACTTATTTAAATACACTTACAATTATGTATTTAAATATTAAGAATTCAGAATTATACTGGAAATTACTGATAAATATAGTTTATTAAATACATTGTATTTAAGTATATGTAAATATATAAAGTGTAATATATATTTAATATTAAGAATTCAGAATTCATAAGAAAAGTGCAATGTATTTAAATAGTCTATATTTTATATATATATATATATATATATATATATATATTTATGTATATATATGTATATAAGTTATTGTGAGTTTTGAATATATTAAGTGTAAAAACATAACATTTGCTAAAAAAGCTAGGATATTATTTGATCTCAAAGATGTATTTCTGACTGGAAAACAGGATGAAATACTGATCAAGAAGACTGACGCAAAGCTGTTTTAGGCTCTGTTTTCACGTACCGTGGTCTCCGACGTTCAGAGCCGAGGGGGTGTCGGCGTGGGCTTTGGCCTGGACGGGACTGCTGCTCGCGGTCATCTGCGTGGTTGGTCTGCTGCGAGCACTCGTTGATTCTGGAGCTCCGCTGGTTCCTGCGGTGGTGGATGTCGGGTGGAGCGTGCTGACGTGGATGCTGCTTGTGGGCTCGTGGGTCGTTGATGGTGGGAGTGTGGTAGGTTTTACCGTGGTAACTGCTGTCTCATTATTCACAGGTGACACATCAGAGACGTTTCGACTGTCTGTGACGTTCCCAGAGAAACTGATGTTCTCGGCCGGGGCAGATGAGTTCACCAACATTACTAAAGATGAAACAAACACGAGAGTATTCAATCAGCAAACAAAGTATTGTGCTCTCTCAGATTTGAGTGCAACTTCCAAAAAAAAGGTGCACAATTATAATTTTGCTTGCTTTATTTTGGGATTTATTCGATTTAAAAAACTTTTTTTTTTTAATTGCATTTTTTATGCTCATCAAAGCTGCATTTATTTGTTTAAAAATACAGTAAAAACAGTAATATTGTGAAATAATATTACAATTTAAAGTAATACATTTTATAATGAAATATATCAAAGCTGAATTTTCAGCATCATTACTCCAGTCTTCAGTGTCACATGATCCTTCAGAAATCATTCTAATATGCTGATTTGCTGCCCAAGAAACATTTCATATTATTTTCAGTGTTGAAAACAGTTGTGCTGCTTTGTATGTTTGTGTAAACCATGAAAACGTTTTTTTTTTCTTTTTTTCTGGATTCTTGAATGTCTAGAAAGCTCAAAATAACAGCGTTTATTTGAAATCTTTTGTAACGTAAATGTTTTTACTGCCATTTTTGATCAATTTAATGCATATTTAATATGCACACACACACATATATATATCAAGTCAAGTCTGCTTTATTGTCAATTCTTCCACATGTACAGCACATACACACAGAGAATTGAAATTGCGTTACTCTCAGACCCTTGGTGCATACAGATAACACTAACAGTAGAACATAAATACAGATATACAGATTAAGTATAAAATACAACTATACAAATATACAAATAAGGTAAAATGTAAAAAAATATATAAAAAAATATAAGGCAGCACACGGCACATGGCAGATAGAGTGCAAACCAGTGAAGTAAACAACAGTGCAGATATAATGATTTGTAGTGCAAAAAGAGCTTATTTAGACTGATTAAAGTGACTGTGTGTGTGTGTGTGTGTATTTGGGAGGGGGGAGTGGGAGAGTCCTTCAGAGTTCAGTGGTGCGTGGGGCAAAAGAGGGGAGGGGGGGCAAGGTCGGGAGGGAGTTCAGCTTCCTGACAGCCTGATGGATGAAGCTGTCCTTCAGTCTGCTGGTCCTGGCCTGGAGACTCCGCAGTCTCCTCCCTGATGGCAGCAGACTAAAGAAGCTGTGTGTCGGGTGGGTGGGATCACCTGCAATGCAGAGGGCTTTGCGGGTGAGACGGGTGTTGTAAATGTCCTGGAGGGAGGGGAGAGAGGCACCAACGATCTTCTCAGCTGCTCTCACTATGCGCTGAAGTGTCTTGCGGCAGGATGCGTTGCAGGCACCATACCACACAGTGATGCAGCTCGTCAGAATGCTCTCGATGGTGCCTCTGTAGAAGGTGTACATGATGGGGGCCGGGGCTCTGGCTCTTCTTAGTTTGCGGAGGAAGTAGAGACGCTGCTGTGCTTTCTTGGCCATTGCTGTGGTGTTGTCAGTCCAGGAGAGATCCTCTGTGATGTGCACACCCAGGAACTTGGTGCTGCTCACCCTCTCCACAGTCACACCATTGATGGACAGAGGAGCATGCTGAGTGCGCACTCTCCTGAAGTCAACAACAATCTCCTTCTTCTTCTCCACATTCAGAGAGAGATTGTTGTCACTGCACCACCCGGCCAGGCGGCTCACCTCGCTCCTATAGTTTGTAACTATATATACACAGTTTGTAACTATATATACACAGTATAAATAACATTTTAATACACTTAACATTTATAGTTATCAAGTACATATGCATGTTAAATATGCATTAAATTGATCAAAAGTGACAGTAAAAACATTTACAATGTTACAAAAGATTTCTATCTCAAATAAATGTATATTTACATTATATTAAGTGTAAAACATTTTCTATTTATTTGAGATAGAAATCTTTAAGATTATAAATACCTTTACTGTCACTTTTGATCAATTTGATGCATCCTTGCTGAATAAAAGTATTTAATGTATTAAAAAATCTTGCTGAAACATTTGAACAGTAGTGTACAGAGTTTACGTTCAAAAAGAACTAATGGGTTGTTAAATTTTTTTTCTTCTTCTTTTGGTCATGTCTTATCTTGCATATTGCACAAAGTAAGCCAGAACTGCCACTGGTGCCCACTTTAAAAAAGAAAAAAAAGGGTGCACAACATCTCTGGTGGGCAAAACTGTAATTATTACCATGTTTCCATGGTGACCTCTGCATAATTCCACAAACACGGCAGCATATGACAGATCTGCTGACAGAAATGTTGTGAATCACTGAAAAACATTGAGCTGCACAACACTAGGAATAAATGACAGATGAAGCACAGCTTTGGGCTTTTTCAGTTAAATTAATGAGCACATGACTCAACGGGCGGCTACATGTTCAATGCTGTTTCTTAGGTTGGTGAGGCCTTTGTTAAAGACTAAACGCATTTCCAACTCATTTTAACTCCTGAAATGTGATATTCAGTAAGACAAATCGCAGAGTAAGACTTGATTCAATCCATCAGTAAGTGGTTGGATTGTGAAAAGTGACTGATAGGGGAAGGGGATGAAAAATAACGGCTTGAGTAAGTCGTTCATTCTTTCACTTCGACAATTACAACGATTTCCTTTTTCTGTGGAACGACAGGAACATGTGAATAGTGTTTTGCATGTGTTTGTGCATGTGTTCATAAACCAGGTATGAGGAACCACTCGGATTGGTTATTTTACAGAAAGTAAAAGGAAACAATTATCTGAATGTGAAAACACCCTGAACGTTTGCCATGTATGTGTGGATTCTCTAGAGAGAAAGAGAAAAGAGAGGCACTACCTAGCATACTATATTTCTGCAGTATGTACACTACCATTCAAGAGTTTGGGGTCAGTAATAATTTTTTTTTGTAAGAAGTTAATACTTTTATTCAGCAAGGATGCATTACATTGATCAAAAGTGACAGTAAATACATTTTTAATGTTACACAAAGATTTATTTGACAAATAAATACTGTTCTTTTCAACTCTATATTCATCAAGGAATCCTGGAAAATAAAATGTATCCCGGTTTCCATTCAATATGAAGCAGAACAACAGTTTTCAACATTAATAATAATCAGAAATGTTTCTTGAGCAGCAAATCAACATATTAGTGTGATTTCTGAAGCATCATGTGACACTGAAGACTGGAGTAATGATGCTGAAAATTCAGCTTTGATCACAGGAATAAATTACCTATCAAAATATATTCAAATAGAAAATAGTTATTTTAAATTTGAATAATGTTTCACAATATCACTGCTTTTACTGTATATTTAATCAAATGAACGCAACCTTGGTGGGCAGAAGAGACATTTTACATTAAAAAATATAAAATAATTGCATTTATTTCTAAGATGGATACACCCAGTATGCCATTAAATGAGATCATGTGACAACAATGTAGCATACTATATGTAAAAGTGCATATTGTGCCAAACAGTTTAACAACTAATGTATACAGTACAGTATTCAGTAAGTTAGTATTTCCTCTGAAGGCAGCCAGACAGAGTATTTGAGGATGATTTTAATGGTGATCTTTGATGGTTTGTGAATCCCAGTCGTTCAGTGTGACAGCGCGTGTCTGTGCATGTGAGACGTGTGCATGTGTGAACAGCACTGAGCTGTGTGTGTCATGAGGATTCAAACTCTCACACTCTCACGTCAGATCTCACACTGCATTTCTTTTCTTTATGTCATTTTGCATTGCTGTCGCAGTTCAGAGCCACTGATTGTTGTATAAATGATCTGTTCTGTCAGGTCGGGGTGCTAGTTAAGTGTTTTCTGGAAGAATTCACCCAGTGATGAAATGTCTTTCATTTGCTCACTCTCGTGTTGTTCTAAACCTGTTGAAATCTGTCTTTCCTTCAGTTTTTGATTATGAAGCAGCGGGAATGTGATTTGAGAGTTTTCAGCCAATGATGACTTAGATATTGGTGTGTTCTGACATCTGCTTTTGTGTTTCACAGAAGAAAGAAATGTATGCGGATATGGAATGTCACAATGCAAGTAAATGTTTTTAGATTCAATATTCCTCTATGGTAGTCTCAACAACATTAGTTTGAAATTAGTAGAAAATATGTGTAGATGGAGTGTTATTATAGTATTTATTCATATTTTATTTAAAATAAATATCCAATAAATATCCATATGGTATATAAATAATAATAAATTAAAACTGAAAAAACTATAAATATATATTTTTAATATTTTCTTTTTATTTTAGTTTTAGTTTAGTCATTTTGTTTTGTGCATTAGTCATTTTTCTTTTTTCCCTTTTGTATTTCTATTTCTATTTTCCTTTATTTTTATTTTATTTTTTTAATGATTTTAGTACTTAAACTTGAATTTATTTACTTCAGTTACTTGCCATTGCAACATTTCACATTTTTTGTATTTTTTTAAGTTTAAGTTTTTAATCTATATTTAATGTATATATATATATTAGTGCTGTCAAACGATTAATCACATCTAAAATAAATGTTTTTGTTTACATAATATGTGTGTGTACTGTGTATGTTTATTATGTATATATAAATGACAGCACTAATATATATATATATATATATATATATATATTTAGTATAATATATATATTTTTTAATTACCAACATTTTTTTTTTTTTTTAATAAAGCTTATTTAAAATAGAGCTCATGCATCTTAGTTTTTGCTAAATCTGAGGTGCATGAGCTCAGATGAATGAGGTGTACAATCAATTAGTTCCAAAAAGAAAAACAAAACCTGTGCTAATTAATAGAAAACAAGTTGACAAAAAGATTGAATACAAGATTTGGTAATATTATAGCATAACAAGAGTTTTAAAAGGCCAGTCATTCTCAAATTAGGTAAAGAATTTTCAGCACAGCACAAGATGTTAAAGAGATGTCTAGAAATGATTAGTTCAGAGACTAAATATGTTTTGAACCCAGCGACTAGTGCTTCCACACAAACGGTCATTGTAGCAGTGTAGGAACTTGTGTAAAGCATCAGACTGGGGTTTGAAGTCACTATCAATCTCAGATTAAAAACGACGTAAATGTTGTACCTGTAGTTGTGTCTGTGTGCGGTGTGGGTTCAGTGTTTTTGGTGATGTTAGTGGAGGACTGCGTCTGATTGCTGCCGGGGGTCGAGCTGTGAGGTGATGAAGACACGTCAGCCGCAGATGACACGCAGAGATAATCACCTAAAGATGAGAGGAAAACCAGGACGGAGATGATATATGAATCAGATCTAGGAAAAAGTTTGGCCTGTAACTTAAATTATTCAAAGTAATCTGCATATTTAAATGAAAATGGGTATTATCATGAATTAAAAATGAGAGAATGTCTCTGCCAAATCTGGATCCAAGAGGGGATGTTTAAACAGAGCTCTGTTCTGTCTTTAGTTACGTGATGAAACAAGAGAAGTGTTAATAATTAATTCAATCATTTAATTAAGCAACATTGGCATGTGTTTGGGGAGGAACTTTCTGTTTGTCTGACAAATAACAGATGAGTGTTGAAGAAACCTGTCATTATTTGTGCAGTTTCCTTGAAATGACACTTCAGGATTTGAACAACCCTCTAACTCAACTATTACATTTCACAGCATCGTTTGTGCTAGATATGAATGATACTTCAAATTACATGATTTGAGAAGAGAAAAAAAAAAGACTTTTCTGCTCACCAAGGCTGCAAATATTTGATGAAAAATACAGTAAAAACAGTAATATTGTGAAATATTAGTGTACACTAGGTTTTATAAATTATGTGAGCGAATGATGTTTGCCTATGAAGAACTCACTGGCGATGCTAGCATGTTATGAATAGCTGCCAGAGCATTGTTATGGACAGATTCAGTATATCGTTCATCATTTGTCGTTGATGTTGGCAATTATCTGTACATCATGATCTAACTCAAGAGACTTCCTTAAACATTGAGCTATTATAGGATGCCTGATCGCTCTCTCTCGCGCTCTTGTGTTTGTGGGCCGTTACCCAGAATCCTTAGGGAGGTTTGTTGAGGGTTTTGTGCACCACACCCTGCCACTTCACAAGAGTTCTTTTGGCTGAGCTCCTCAGTAACGGCCCTGTTCTGAGCTACTGCCGCTGCATGTCACAAACCCCACCAAACCCGCACACAAGGGGAAAATACCACCAGTCCGGAGGATATTTTGGGAGGCTGATTCATTGCCTGATTCAGCAGTTTTCTGTTTTGGGGGGGGGGGGGACATCAATTCACAGCATGAAAATGGCCTGAGCATTAATGAATAGAACAGATTTATAATGATTCTTCATAAAGACATGTCTCAGTCTATGGGCTATTCATACTCACTAATACTCAGATTTTCACCCAACCTTTGTGCCATTTTTCCTCTCTTTCTCCTTTTAGTTTGTCTGTTTATTTGTCTCAAGACACACATCTTCCTGTGTGTGAGCTACAGCTCATTATATAAGAGGACGGCGCAGCGTTGCACACGACTTCATTTTGTTAACATCAGACCTCTTTAAAGGAACATTTACTAGTTCAATATAAGTTAAAAGAGTAGTTCACCCAAAATTAGAAATTTGCTCACACTCAGGCAATCCAAAATAGTTTCTTCATGGGAACGGATTTGGAGTAATTCAGCATTCCATCACTTCCTCTGCAGTGAATGGGTGCCGTCAGAATAAGAGTCCAAACAGATGATAAAAACATCAGAATAATCCACAAGTAATTGGACTCATTCTGACGGCACCCATTCACTGCATAGGATCCATCGGTGAGCAAGTGATTTAATGCTACAATTTTCCAAATCTGTTCAGATGAAGAAACAAACACACCTACATCTTAGATGGCCTGAGAGTGAGTATATTTTCAGGACATTTTCATTTGTGGGTGAACTGTTCCTTTAAATTCTACATATTGTCCATTAATGCTGACATACTCAGCGAAAATGTAAATCGATAAGACACTTATAATGGAAGTAAACACAGACAGTTTTGTGTTTTATAAGAATGTTTTTCTTAAAGTGCTTGTATTAATTCTTCAGTGCAAAACTGTGTTATTTGAGCTGTAATATCTAAATAATTTTCAGCTTCCAGTTATTCTTCACTGACGTAGTTCCTGTTTGGATTCTTAAGTCATGCATCATTTACCATGATTACATGCTTGTAACTTTGGACCTACTGGATGTGATGTAATGTTTTAGTCTTGTAATGTTCACTGTGTTTCCTTGTGTACTTTTATTTTAAGTGTGTTGCTGTACCCACAATTATTTCTTTATTTAGATGCAAAAGTCCAAATGATTTCCTGTAGTACTGGACATTACGCCAGAAATGCTGCACAAATGAAACCTGGAAGATTCCTTTAAAAATGTGAATTAGAAGCAACAATCTGATGCATCGAAATAACTTTCCAAAATAGCAACTTAAACACTTTTGAAAGAAAATTGGTGTACACTGAAAAAAATTTGATGGTGAAACCAGTTTCACTTAGAAATTGCAAATTTCTCAAATAAATGACACACAATGAATTAAATGTAAAAACATACTCCAATAATCTCACAACATCATAAAATCATTTTTTTACAGTGTAGTAATAATGATACTTGACTTTGTGGCAAACACCACTAATAATTTTCACCCAGTATGCCATCATGTTTCTCACCTGCGCTCCTCTTTCATGTTTCTCACATCTACTTGCAGGTTTTCTCACCTCTCATCTGCAAATCTCATCTTTATGCAAAGCTTTTGTTTGATATGAAACTGTGTCTGTGGAGCTCATAACTGCGGGTACACTATAAAAAAAAGATTTTTCAAAGGTTATTGGAGTACATTTTACAAGATACTGCTATTTTAATTGTTCTACTTCAAAATGTAATGTTTAATCAAATGTGTTATTTCCATTTTTTTCTAATTTTCTGTGAAATTTACCAGCAATTTCTGAGTGAAAATCGTTTCGAAGTAAATCCTACACCAATGTTTGTTTTCTGCATGGAACACCTCCAGCTTGGAAGTGATGCTTCTAGCCTATTTCAAATGTATCATTTTATACATCTGCAATCATTCGTATATATTGAATTATTTTTATTAAATCATTTAATGCATTAAATTAAAGGGTTAACTGGAAATATATTAGAAGAGCAGCGAGACAATTATTTTCTTTTTGGAATGTAGTGCACTTATGAATTGTGCAAAATAAGAGCAGGAATAAAAGTAACCAGGGTTTTTCAAAGTGCTTTTGTACAAGATGTAAAAATAGAAGAGTTAGAAAAGTTCCCAGATAAAAGTGAGAGGAACAGGACGTCAGAATGCAAAGATGACAAGCAACAGAAACTCTAAAAATACCCCACGATTGTTCAGCAGTGTGTCCTGAACAATCTCGCTCTCGCTCAGTGAAATTCAGAGAACTGTACAGGCCGTTCTTAACTTCACAAGAGCAGGCCTTCTAGAATAAAATCCAATTTAAATATGGTAAAAATACACCGCTGCATGACTCCTAATTACAAACACTGGCTAAGAAATGAAAGCATTCTGGGGTTGAGAGACAGTAAGTGTGGTTTGAGAGCATTCCCATTATGCTCTCTGTGCCAGTGCTGGGATAGAGAGATGGATTTCTTGCATTTCCACCCTCATATGAGCATAAACGTGTGTGTATGCATGTTTCAGAATGGAATAATAAATTTTTTAAATCAGAAATAAATATTAGTGAGCTGCTCACAATGTAATCTTTTACAGTTTTGAACACAAAGCTAGGCTGCACAATCATAACTTACGTCATATAAAATGCAAACGTCTAATTCATAACTTAAAAACAAGTTTATGCTTGTGTTTATACGATTAGCCTTCTCCAGAATCCACTTTTAGGCTGTGGTTGGAGTTCAGCATGAGAATAATGTCTCTTCACCGCAAGATACAAGGCTGTGTCTCGAAACATAGTGAGCTCCCTACCCAGAGAGCATTTTCGAGTATCCTCAGTACATTAAGCAGTTGTTGGGGCATCCATAAAGTCGTGAAAGGTAGGTAGTTCGCTAGGTTTTGAGACACGACCATTGTTTGACTGCGCAGGATACGCGTGGCAGCAGAAACTAACTGAGAACAAACAAACAGTGTCTTAAAGCCTGAAAAATACACTCCAAAATGGCTATTAGGCCTAATTCTGTTTGACTTCTAGATGGATAGATAGATAGATAGATAGATAGATAGATAGATAAAGATTTTTTACCTGTAATGAAAGAACAGTAGAAGAGCACCATCGCACAAAACGCAACATTTCCACATCTGCCCATATCCTTCATATGAATAAAAAATGTAAACTAACTTCAACCTAAAATAAAGCTAAAATAGTCCTTTCGTTCTTTCCTTCTTCAGACGTAAAAACCGACACAAAAGTCCAGTGTGTGTGTGTGTGTGTGTAACAAACGCCTCTGGATCGACGGACGGAGATGAATTTAGATGCCAGTGTGCTTTACGGCGTGACAGAATCCAGTCAGATGATCAGAAGTGTCCAAGTGTCTGGAAGAGTTCATTCACCGCGGACCCAAAGAGTTGAGGATCCCCGCGAGCTCCAGTCGACGCGGTGGGCGGGGCAACAGCTTGATCGAGCGTCTCGAGACGCGTTTTTGTAGCTATTTTTATACAAAACTCATAGAGATTTTTTTTCCATGTACTTTGGATGTGTGTGTAAAAATACAGAGTATGCAAAAATATAAATTTCTAAATTTACTTGAAGTACAAGACAGTAAATTACGTGAATGAGCGTAGAGATATATATTTTTATTTTTTAATTTATATAAAACAAAATATATGTATAGTGTAAATGTATATATAAGAGCGAGCGCTCCACCTATCGTACACTTACAGAAGCCGAAACCCATGCAAAATTTCAAAAGTACCACCAAGAGTCGCTGTGACACCGCATATGAACACCAGTTATTTAAAAAAAAACGACATTACCCATAATGCAGCGCTAAGGACCGTTTGCAGGGCCATTAAAATTTAGCCTGATTAAAAATGAACGTCACAATAAAGTCAAGTGATCTAATTGTCATATGAAAGCAGCACGATTTTGCAGGTTTAAAACGGGTTAAAACCTTGATATCAGAAATCAGACCTGAGCTATTTATTAAAATAGATTTGATAAAATTTATTTGATAAAAGGAAAACCAACATACCTGCATTCAATCAACACAGCATGTTGTGTATGTTTTTTTAACACATACATATAAAACGAATAAAAAATAATAATATTGAAACATAGTTTAACTGGAAATAGTGTTTTTCTGTTTTTAGTGAAGGCAGAGGGTTGGGCACGTGCAGCGCGTGTCGAATCATCGATTCATCGGTTTCAGACCGACAAGAACCGGAGAGGGAGGACACATGCACACCGGATCGCCGGTGCCGGACACATATTTGTGACATATGGTCATATTTATCGGTCATCTGAGATACGAAAGGGGGTTTTATCATGAGTGAAATATGAGATTGAGAGACATGAGCTCGCGCGCACCGGCCTGATCGCGCGCCGAGCCGAATCAAATTCACCTCAGAGATTAATCAGCGGTTATTATTACAATTATATTAATCAGCAGTATTCTTATAAGGCGTTAGGCGATAGATTGTGGTCAAGAGAGCGAGAGGAGGTGTGTGTTATAGTAAACACAGCGATGGATCCGGACACAGCCGCAGACTTCACCGTGGAAAACGTGGAAAAGGTAAATATGTATATTTTTATTAAATAATATTATTTATTGTTCATTTACTCTTTGATAAAACATAGAAATGTCGTTGATGTAAGTTGGGCATAAATTGATGTTATGTATTAATTATATACATTATATATATATATATATATATATAGATAGATAGATAGATAGATAGATATATAGATATAGATAGATAACGTTAGCTAGATAGATAGATATAGATAGATAACGTTAGCGCTTAATAAATACTATTTTAAGGCCATTATTTTATTATATTTATATTGATTTGTTCGTAATTTATTAGATTCTTTTTGCTGTAATGAATCTGTATTTTTTTTTAAACCAACGTAAATCAAAGCAGTACCGCCATGATGAAAAAGTAAATTTGGTATAGTTATTCTTTCCCTTTATAGTAATGAGAATTAGATTTGTTTAAAAGAGGTTATGGGGTTAAATGTGCTTAATTGACATGAAAACAGTGTCCCAACGCACAAAATATTGATAGTCCTAAAAAACGTATTTTCCATAATCAGCATGTCATTTCTCATGAGTCTCTTTTAAAGCTGTGGTGAAATATGTCTGGGGTCTTCTTAACAGGTTTTGGGAGATTGACCCATGTAGTTGCTTTCAGCATCATTACAAAATTGTGATGTTTTAGTTGTTCTGTCTTTATTAGCTCTCTATTTTGACTGCTTTAGTTTTTGCCGAATGTCTATCAATTTTACGGCTCTGTCTATTTTTGAGGGTAATTTTGTCTGTATGTGATTGTAATGCAGCTGATCTCTGATGATCAGGTTACAAATGTGAAACTGGTGTTCAACAGTAGATTGGATTAGAGAAAAGAGAGCGATATTGATCCATCTGTGAGGACGAGGAGCGGAGAGAGGGTGGTGTCCCGTCCGTCTCATCTCTGCCTGGTGGAGGGTTTCTCATCTTTATCCTGGACCACCGCTGTCAGACCCAACAAACGCTTTGTTCTGCTCATGTGACACACTCATTATTATTATTATAGCTTTTGAGTTCGTTAACAGCAAACGTGGTGTCTAGGGCTGGGTATCGTTCAAAAATTTTCGATACCGATACCTTGACTTCGATACCGGTTCCTGAACGATACTTTTTTCGATACCAATTTTATGAAATCAATTTTAACAAGATTACATTTGTTTGTTGATGTTTATACAAACTCAAAGACTCATCTTCTGAGCCACTGCACAAAGGAACAAAATGTAACCAACACAGTAAATCAGTGCAAATAGTTTTAATAAAGTTCAAATAGTTTTCAGTGCAAAATGAACCCTTTAAGTCAGTATGTGAGGCTCACTATAAAGCCATTATAAAGCTTGGAAGAGCTGGGACATTTTTTATATAACTCTTGATTGAATTCGTCTGAAAGAAGATAGTCATATACACCTAGGATAGGTGTTAGTGTGAGTAAATCATGGGGTAATTTTCATTTTGGGTTAACTATCCCTTTAATGTCAAACTGAACATAACTATAACCCATGAGGTGATAGGCTGTCAGTCAGTGTAGTTACATTGTTGAGCCAGTAGGTGGCAGTTTTCATTTTAAAACATAAACGCACCAGTGTAAATGTAGCCTTACATCTAAGGGGGCTGGGACGCATTCACACTACAGCCTCACGTGTGCGCATCTCTGAGTGTAACCGGTGTAAACTAGTAGATGTGTTCGACTTGACGCGGACTGACTGTGCAGACCGATCGGTGTATTACAGTACCACGAGAGCTAAAGAGAGCAGACTTCTCCGTGCGCTTTCGAATCGCTCTCGCGGCTGTCAAACACTGATCGATCTGCGCCGCACCTCTTCTAGTCGAACACACCGGCTAGTGCTGCAGGCTTATTGGCTCACTGACGCTGATGAGATTAACTCCTTAGGTATCGAAATTTGGTACGGAACGACGAGACGTTTTTCGATACTCAATGGTATCGAGGCATTTCAGTCGGTGCCTAAAAAGTATCGAACTCGATACCCAGCCCTAGTGGTGTCAGTAATGTATCAGTAATTTATTTTTTAATGGAATGCACTCGATTGCTGCTGAAAATAATTTCAAATCGTCGTTCAGTTTGTGTTTACAGTGATGCATGTAGTGGAAGGCTATGAATTAAGACATTCTGGAGGGTTCAGCAGCACTTATGTTAATTCTTCAATTTAATATGTCAAGATCAATGTCAGCCATGTCATTTTTTGGTGTATCACATTGCAGTTGACAAAATAACTAAATGCATTTTTTTTTTTTATTGCATTTTATTTCTATGATCAAAGCTGAATTTTCATCATCATTACTCCAGTCTTCACATGATCACGTGATCCTTCAGAAATTATTCTGATATACTGATTAGCTGTTCAACAAACATTTCTGATTATCGTCAATGTTCAAAACAGTTGTGCTGCTTCATATTTTTGTGGAAATTGTTATATACTGCCATTCAAATGTTAACATTCAAAATGTTAAATTAATCAGATGTGACAGTAAAGACATTTATAATGTTACAAAAGATTTTGATTTAAAACAAGCTTTTAAACTTTCTATTCATCAAAGAATCCTGAAAAAAGAATCATCCAAAAGAAAACCGTTTTCAACTGATAATAATAAGAACCATTATTAATAATTGAGCGCAAATAATAATTGGGCGTTATATCTGCATATTAGAATCATTTCTGAAGGATCATGTGACACTGAAGAGACTGGATCAATCTATTCAGCTTTGAGATCCTAAAAAGGTGAGCTGATTATTTTAACTCCGTTTTAGATAGAAGGTCAAAAGTACATTTCTGCTTCTTTTTGGCAGATGTGCAATAGCTCCTGTATCGGGACGTCACTGTCTCGGCCGTTCTTTCACGCTCGTTCTCTCAGCAGAAGACGCTCACAGAGGTCGTTGTGTGTGTTATTGTGTATTGTTCTGGGCGGTGTGATGGTCAGGCGTAACCGTCTGCAGTGGAGAGAAACATCACTACAATAAAACCCCTCATTTAAATATCCTGGTCAGATATCCAAGCTGACAAATATGAGAAATGTTCATGTCAGTTATGCACAAAAGTGATTTGTTGCTTGTGCATTATCAGGGCTAATATTTGCTGGAGAGTTTCATTTTTAGATGCAGCGAGATGCTTGACTTCAGATGTTTTCCATGTGAATGTGTGTTTGATTATTCACAGAGGGCATCTGGAGTGTATGCGTGTGTGTGTAAGTGTTGTCATGTTCCACTATTGTGTCTTGATTGGCTCGGCCGTTAGCTTTGCTAATTATATCTCCTGGGCTTTGTGCAGAGATTCGGTTGTCAGGGGCAACCTGATATGTTTTTCCAACCATTGACTGTTCAAACGTGTCAACAGCCACGTCTCGCTGTGCTTCTTTAAGCTCATACACACGTTTATCTGATCTATTAGTGATGAAAGGTCAAAAAGCATCTCTTATAATGTGATCATTTCTTCTGTGTTGGAGCAGTTTGCTGTGGTGCTGTTCCTCGTTGTTGCTGAGTATTCAGATAATTTGTGATTATTTACCTCTGACTCAATGGGAATGAATCTCAAAACACAAAAATTCTGAGATGTAAAATTCACACATGGCTGATGATGTCAGAACAGCCGTTCAGGATCACTCCAGATGGGCTGTTGAACACAGTCCCAAAAATTGTCAAATTCCTGGCTTCGTGCAGTGTTTGGGAGTAGGGTTGTAACGATATACCGGTATTAGGGTTGGGCCGATAGACGATGCCATTGTCCATCACCTATGGCTGATAGACATCATGATGTTGAACCGGCATCGTGATCCCGCCCCCCAATACCCCCCGCAATCCGCCCGCATCCCAATACCGTGTTCAGAAAGAAAATGATGTGTATACGGAACCCCTAAAGG